GTTTGGTTTTCTCTGACTGATTGTCTTGGGTTGGTTCTGGCTCGCTTTCATTTTCTTGGTCCCAATGGTGAATCTCAGGGCCTCCCACATGAAGACAACACTGCTGCTGCCCTATGCACTAAGTACTTTTCATTCTATTTGGGACAGCGATCAACTAAGTGTCCCGTGCTGGCCTCTAACTTGTGATCCTCCTGCCTCAGTCTCACGGAGCACCAGGATTACATCGGGCACCACTGTGCCTGGCCCGTCTGATCTTTAAGGCATCAGAGCAGAGTTCTGTGGTTATGGGACTCTCACCAGCCCCCTGCAGCCTTCCAGCACTCACTGTGACACAGATATCTGCCCTCTTCCTGTACCTGATGGCTGCTTTTACCATCACAGTCGAGGGAGGAGCCAGGCTCAGAGCCCGCCTCATGGCCTCCCCTTGTGCCAGCTCTGGGTGTGCGCCGGGTTCAGGACCCCCTTTGCTCCCGACTGCAGATTCTCCCATGGTGCAGAAGGACTGAAGTGATGCTCCACCTCCCCAGCATCCACAGAAACGTGGGCTCTGAGTCCAACAACTTCCAAAGGAGCTCTGGCTGGTTACCCATGGAGACTGATGGCCAGTAGGATTTTAGGAAGCTGCTCCATGGGAATAAAGCTCTAGGTGACAGCACTTGCCATTTCCGCTGAGGTAAAGAGGCCCCTCTGCCACCTTCCAGCTGCCATGAAGAGCCTGTAAGCATAGAGTATGGAAGAGTTACAAAGTAGCACATCAGTCTGTTACATTTCTACCGTGAGACACAAAGACCCTATGGTTCAGGTTCCTAGGGCTGTGGTCCCAACACGCACACAGCAGGTGTCCTGAAATTCCAGAGCTGCCCAGATGCTGTGGCCCTGCCTGTTACCCCAGCACTCAGGGAGCTCCAGTAGGTGTGGAGCGGGAGGCCACCCTGAAGTACACAGTGTTTCTCAAAACAGAACAACCATCACAACTGAGTGTATCGTTGCACAGCCCTGGAAGCAGAAGTCAAACCTCAGGTACAGGTAGGGTGGTGTCTCTGTGAGCCTCGTAGGGGACAAACATCCTGGCCTTCTCCTGCCATGATGGTTGCTGTAGGCTTTGGTGGCCTCAGATCCCTCAGTGTAGTCTCTGCCCCATTGTCACTGGGCCTCTTCTGCGTGGGCATCTCCCTCTGTCTCCTTTCCTGTTCCTATGAGGCACCAGTCAGGGACAGTTATGGCCACACTAACCATGCCCCTCTGCTAATCCCAGATGCAATGGCCCTATTTGCACAGGATGCCACATCCCCAGGTACTCTGGCTTAGGAATTCAACCTATGCTATTGTCTGAGGGTTAAGGACCTCAAGAGTGTAGATAACAGTAACAGGAGGAGACAATCAGAAAGTAATTGTGTGGCACAGCTGTTTTCATATACGTTATCACAATTGTTTATCAGGTTTGTTTTCATATGCATTAAATCACAACTGTTCACATATACATTGACTCTTAACTTCATTGCTCATTGCTTTAGAGTCCATTTGGTAAATATCTTTGTTTAACAACAGACTTGGAAAGTTCCTGAGACTATAACAACAAGCTTTCAGGAGACCGTGGGAGCCAGTGGCCACAACGACCCTTGTCTTGGGCTCCGTTAGGGAGTGGATTAGGGCCTCCAGGTGACATGCTGGTGACACCATGTGTTCTTTCCTCCTAGGGACATAGCCTCTCCTGCATTTTAGGAGGGGAGACTGACCAGGTGTGGTGACCTGGGGCAATCGTGACTCTTACCAGGGCCCCACCTAAGCCTGGACCACGCACCCTGAGATCCTCCTTGCTGCCCGGGCATCTCACTCCAGAGCTCCTTGGTCCTCTCTCTCTGGATCCACTGCTGTGCATAGCTAAGCGTCCTGGGGGCTGATTCAATTGCACTATTGGCTGCAGTTATTTGCATCCACTGCTTAGGGAATTCATGCCCAAACCTGGTCTTAACTCTCAGGCTCCCTGTGCCCTGCCCTGTGGGAGCCCAGTTCACTCAGGATCCTCAGCCTGCACCTCTGACCCACATAGGGAACTCCCCTGAAGGTTCCCTGTGACTGAGACCCTTGCTGGCCACTCTTGGTTTTTCTGGAGGCAGAACTACTCTGCCAGCTTCTCCAGGGTCTATGTAGCTAGGGTGTCCTGCCCCAGTCACATGCCCACACTTTCCTCTCCTCCAAGCTCCTCTGAGGCAATGCCCTACTGGGTGAAGGCAGCGTGGGTTGATCTCATGGTGTCTGTGCACGTGAACCAAGCTGTCCAGGCCTTGCTGGAATTGCTCTGCTCCCTGGTGGGAGAATACACCTTCCTTGATACACTCTCCCTTCCTTCCTCCATGAGTATGTTTTGCCCCTGGGCCACACTAAAGTAAAGCTAAGTCCCTTAGCTCAGAATATGCCCTCCAAGGAGATGGGCTTTACAGAGCCAGTTAAGAGGCTCAGGCTACCAGGGTGCCCTACATCAGCCTGCCTGGTGTCCTCCAATCATGGGGAAAGATGCCCATGGGAAGACGACAGAGCATATGGGGGTTATCTCTGCACCCAGAAGCTCTGAGGGCCCTGAAAGTCACCAGATGCCTGGCACAGCTGACAGAGTCTCTATTCCCAGATTCAGAGGGAGTTGGGCCAGAAAACACCTTACTTCTGGACTTCCAATCCCAGAACTGTGAGACAATAAATAAGTTTGATTTTAAGGCCCCAGCTCTGATTGATGTGGCCCTGTAAGCCTAGGAGTCTAATGCAGCCACCTCACCTCAGCCTACTTTTTTTTTTTAAATGGACACTGTGTTTTATTCATGACCCATCAGTGTCCCTCTTGCCCCTATGGCAAGGTGAGGGGGAGGGAGGAGAGGTAGGAGGAGGCAGACTGCAGCTACCCTTTGTAGACACACTCCAGGGAGGTAGCAATGGGGCACACGTCCAGCTCAATGCTTCAAGCCCAGTTCTCCACATTCCCGATTTCCTTGAGTGCCTGGTTAAAGTTCTCCACAAACCCGATCCACTGGCCTGTCTGCTTAGCAAATTGGGCAGCCTGGACCTGCAGGGTCTTCACTTCATGGTCCAGCTTTCTCTGGTTCATGTAGGCCTGGGCCACTCCCACATTGAGGTGGTCCACCAAAGCTTCTGTCAGGCAGATCGCCGCAGTGATGGCTTTTCACCTTCTCTTTTCTTGCAGCTCCTTGCGCTCGTTCTGCTTGGCCTGGTGTTCTTTGAGCAGGCGGGACAGCATGGTGGTGTGGGGCAGGGGGCTGGGTGCAGCACCCCCGGGGCTGTGGGACCTGAACGCACCCTCAGCCTGCTTTTGATAGAGCACCCTCAGGGCTTTGTCCTTCCTCTCCTAATGTCCCCAGGCCCTGGTGGCATAATTTGTCATGCCGTGGCACAGCTCAATGTCTCCTGTCCCACTTCATGAAGCAGAGACAGCCACCCTTAGCTGCGTGTTGGGGATGTGTTCTTTCCTGGAACGCTCCTCACGGGTGCACAGTCTCGAGGACCCCTGAAAACAGTTCCTCTGATGGGCTTCAGGAATGAAGATGAGGTAAACATTACCACAATCGCCAAAAGAGGGGCTTGAACATTGGATGAAGTCAAGGCTACGTGGCAGAGGGTTTCCCAAATGGGATGAGCCCAGTGCACTGTCAGGGTCCCCGTAAGAGGAGGCAGAGGGTCTGGGATTTCACCAGAGAGTATGATGGGAGAAAGGGAGAGGGACCAGAAGATGGAGTGAAGACACAGCGAGGGAGGGCTCTGACCCTTCGAGGCTAGATGTGGCAAGTGCTCCTGCCTCAGCCTCCCAGAGTGCAGGAATCACAGGCCTGCACCACCCTGGCCGGGTGCACATAAGCTCTGCACACCACAGGCCACTCAGCTGGTGCCAACTCCCTCAGCTGTCTTGCTGCCTCCTGCCTGCTCCTCACTCTTTGTCCAGACAAGATGCGAGGGCCCAGGCAGCCCGCCCCACGGCCTGGGAAAATCTCCACAGAACTGTGGTGTGCATTTGCTCTGCTTTCCCTGCTGACTTCTAGACCAGAGACTGCCACAAGGCTGGAGCTGAGCAAGCCTTGTGGAATGAGGCAAACAGCAGTCTGGGCCATGACTTTCCTTGTTCTCACCTCAGATCTCAGCAGAGCCTCCCACTCCAGGGTCCCTCTGGGCCTGGACAATAGAGGAGGCCCTGGGGACTCAGCCACAGCCTTGTGCCCTCTCTGGAGTAAGTGGGGAAAGGCAGCAGGCCTGCCCCTCCCTTGGGGCTACCTTTCTGACCCTTCCCACTTCTATCCCACTTCTGAGATAACCCCAACCCACACCTAAACTCTGGGGTTCTAGCAGGCCCCATTCTCGGCAAGGGGTCATCTGCCCATAGGCAGCGTCCAGTGCTCCTCTGCTCTGCACTAGTGCTCCCCAAAGACTGCGTCCCACCATCGGGAAGCTGCCCCACCTCCCAGGATTCCTTTCAGAACTCACCTGAAGTCCAGTGACCCTGAGTCCTGGCACTTTCTCTTTCCTTCCTCCTGCTCACCTCGCTGGAGCCCCGCCCCCCTGGGTTTCCCAGCGCAGGCTCCCCTAGCGGTCAGAGAGTGGACATGAACGTCAGGTGTCAGGCAGCATTTTCACTTTTCACACATCAGCTGGGACTGTCCCTCAGTCCAGGATAAAAGCAGCACCATGGAGCTGAGGCAGGAATAGCATCGTGGACAGAGCTACACCCAGAGACACCTTGTCACAGAGCACCAGGCCCAGATCCACACAGGACAGCGACGCGCAGGACTCCAAGGCCGACAGAGGTAGAGCCCAGAGCTGCCAGCCGCAGGTGCACGTTTGGTCACCATCAGCCAGAGAGAGACATCGGCAAGATGAAGCCAGGTGAGACCCACAGCATGGCCATGGATGCCACCACCCAGGACAGCCCTGGAGCCCTGGGCACCCATTCAACAGCACCTTACTTGCTATCTCCGTGTCACACAGACCCCTCTGGAGGTTCCATGCTGCTGCTCCTGCTGCTGCTAGCCACAGTGCAGACCAGGACAGGGGCAGTTCCTGTGGCTGGAACCCACCGTGTCTCTCTGGACACCAGGAAATGTCATATGGCCCAGTTCCAGTCTCTGCCCCCACAAGAGCTGCAGGCCTTCAAGACAGCCAAAGATGCCTTTGTGAGTCTACCCTAAATGCCCCTTCTGGGGCTCCCCTCCAGCCCTGCCTCTGTGAGTTCCTCCCCACATGCACCCCAGAAGTGGACCTTACCCTCCCTGCAGTGGGCTCACATCAAACTCTCACACAGAGCTGTTACTTCTTCCTTCCCAACAGCAGGCTCATCCCACCCTGACAACTCTGTACCTTCCCCTGCTCCTACTGCAGTGGGCCCACTATGTCCCCTACAGTGGAGGGGTCTCTTCCACCACCAGGGATTGAACTTGCCACCTTCCTGCCTTGAACCATTCTCCTACCCCACTGCACTGGCCCAAGCCCTTCTCCCAGGTTGAGCTAACCTGAGCTCTTGCTGTCTAGGAAGAGCAGCTCCTGCTGAAGGACTCCAGGTGCAGAGCGCACCTCTTCCCCAGGACCTGGGACCTGAGGCAGCTGCAGGTGAGTGGGTTCAGGTGCAGCCAGCGCTCATCTGGAGCCAGCCTCCTGACTGCTGTTGAGCCCGTTGGCCTCTCTTTTCTCCCTGTTTGTCCCTCCATGCTGCTCCTCATTCATTCATCCCCATCCTGGGCCACTGTGTGGCTTCTCCCTTCTCCCCTGACCTGGCACCTTTCCCTCAGTACTTCTGTCTGTATCTCCCCTGCCCCTGCTCTGTCCTGTCTGAGCATCCCTCACCTGTGCCCATCTCCTTGTCCAGGTGTGGGAGCGCCCTGTGGCCCTGCAGGCTGAGCTGGCCCTGACCCTGAAGGTCCTAGGCAATGTGACTGACCTGACCTTGGGGGACATTCTGGAGCAGCCCCTACATACACTGCGTCATATCAATACCCAGCTGCAGGCCTGTGTGAGTCCTGGGTCCCTGTGCACATTCTGGGCTCCGACCCTCACCCTTCCCTGAAGGCCCAGCTCATAGCCCCTCTCTACCCACAGGTCCCAGCCTTGCCCACAGCATCCCACAGACCCCGCAGCCGCCGTCTGTCCCACTGGCTGCAGAGGCTCAACCAGGCCTCCAAGAAGGTGAGAGAACAAGAGAGTCAGTGTCTGGGAGACAGGGCAGCCGGCCACAGGCAGCCCCTGAGTCCTCTCTGTGTCCCAACAGAAATCCCGTGGCTGCCTCCAGGCCTCTGTCATCTTCAACCTCTTCCGCCTGCTCACCAGGGACCTGAGATGTGTCGCTAGGCCAGACCTGTGTGCCTGAGTCCTGGGCCCCTCCTGCCTCCTGCCAAGGAAGCCTCCGTTTTGTCTCTGTGTCCATCATGTGCCTTAATTTATTGTTACCCAATCAGCATTTATGTATTTATTTTTGTATTTATTTATTTCTGTGTTTATTCTCCAACTCACATCCAATTAAATGCCCATTTTTTTACTTTTTAAGAAACTTTGCAAATAAACAATGAAGCAGAGACCCTTGTTACATGACCTTTATGTATTCGTGGGTGTAATTCCTTTGTTCTGGACAGGAACACACTAGTACCAGTGTGACCTGTCCCAGTGGTGGTGGTGATCATCTGGCTGGGCGCAGGGCTCCATCAGCAGGCAGCACTGGCTCCTCCTTGTCCTGGCTTCTGCAATAAACCCATGTTTCACCAACGGGGCTGTTTTGGAAAGACGCTGCTTCCACATGGGTCTGGGCCACTGCGTGCTGGTCCTGCTGCTCCCTGTATCGGTCTGTGGTACACACCTCCTTGCTCTCACAATCCTGTTTATTCTTTTCCTGGACCCACCTCTGAGAGCCTGCAGTAGTGCATCCCTTTTTCTCAGCCAAGATTGACCTGATGTCCCCTCTGTGCCAAGTCTACAGCTGTAGCTAGGGAACTCTTCCCCTGTGAAGGACCCAAGGGAGTAGACCAGCTGCTCCCGATAGCCCAAGACATCCATGGCCCAAGCCCCAAAACCTTAACTACATATGCAAGTCCCTGTACCACAGAACATAAGGCACACACTCGCCCCAGGGCTGACATCCTCGGGGGCCATTGTTCAGCTCCTCCACTGTTCATACAATTTTATATCTGATGGTGGGGCTGAGCGTACAAGTGACTGTGTGTGGTCATCCACCTGAAGGTGTGTCCTTATTCATCTGTGACACTCTTTCTGACCCCTCTGAAGATGTGGGAGGGGATTAGGAGAGTCCCCACCACACATTGCACATTCCTTCACCTCAGCTCCCTGTGTGCGGGGTCACACGATTCCACTGCATGGGGACCCAGCCCTCATCCTCCAGCAATCAAGCCTCTTGTCTCCTCCATCCCCTGCATCTAGCTGCTCTCTTCACACCTGTAATTTCATCAGTCTTGGCAATATACAGACTGCAGGTGTCCCTGCCCTGCATCCTCCTGCTGACCAGACCCTTCCATCCTAGCCGGGGCAGGAGCCCCTCCCTGCCTGGTGACGAGGGACAGTGTACCGGCCAGGATGCTGGCTCTTCCTCTCACTTGTTGATTACCTGCAGGGGAACACAGGTACTGTGTGAGAGTTAGAAGCACCCAGTCACTCGCATTGTACCACAGCATGGAGCAGAGGAGCTTCCTTGGAAACCAAGGCTTCTCTATGAACTGACCTGATAATAGGGAGAGGAAGAGCCAGGTGGGCATTTGCACCCACAGCTCATGGCTGCTGGGGGCACCTGACCTTCTGACAGCTGGGTCTAGTGACTGAGGTGGCCACTTGGGGTCACCTGGCCTGCACTTCTCCTTCATGACCCCGTACATGGCTGGGGTCCTTGTTATGATTGCTGTCTGCTGTGTTATAGATCCTTAGAACTTTCCCCACAAGCCTGCAGCTACGCTGAGCTGTTCTGTTTCAGTCTGTGTACAGTCCCAGGGCCTGGCCTTGCTCCTGGCTCCTCTGATTGACAGCTTTTGTTGGGTCACTGGGTTTATATTTTAGAGCCTGGCCTGCTGCTGGCTCCTCCTCTGCTCCCATCCAACATCCATGGGTATGGCTTTAGATTCTTCCTGAATATGTACTGTGCTGGCTCCTACCAGAGTTGAGTGACAATAATGTAACTGGGGAGGGGTCTGCCATATCCCAGACCTCAAGATCCCTAAATACTTCTCTCATGGGACACTCAGCTAAACCTGTAATTGTACCATCTCTGCCTCTGGAGTTCAGAACTTCCAATGTCTTTACTAGTTTTTCCTTTTCCCCCTCACTAGCATGTTGACAGGGAAGAGTGGACCCCAGGGGTGTCTTTGGAAGACCCACATAGTCTTTTGGTCAGACGATGTTTCAACAGCCCTGCTCACATATCCCAGGTCCTGATTCCACATAAGCATCTGGTGAGCACTCTGACTTCCTTGTGGTGGGCAAAATGACTGCCTCTGACAGATCCATGGCCCGGTACCCTTCAGTGATAGGACCCTTGGCACCCTTTAGCAAAGATACTATGTTCTATACTGCTCTGCAATTTGAGCCACCACTGTCCTCTACTGTCATCCATCTTGCTGTTCTTTGCTGTTTGCTCTTTTTTTTCTCCTTCTTCATCTGTCTGTCTTCTCTGTCTGTCTCTACCCCTTTCTCTGTCTCTGCCTCTCTCTCTGTCTTTGCCTCTCTCTCTGTCTCTGCCTCTCTCCCTCCTCCCCTCCCGTGTGTGTGTGTGTGTGTGTGTGTGTGTGTGTGTGTGTGAGATTTTGGAGATGGATCCCAGGGTCTCCCACATGCTAGGCAAGTGCACTTTCACTGAGCTATGCAGCAAGCTTTCTTGACTTTGAGACAGACTCACTAAGTTCCCCAGGTCGACCTCAAATTGATGACCTCCCTGCCGCAGTATCCTAGAGTGCTAGGATTACAATGCACAAGACCAGGCTGGGTCCATGCGATTTTGGAAGGGCTACAAGCGAGGAATGAACTGGGGGGTGTGAATGAATCAGCAGCCCTACCTGCTCAAAGTTTTGAGAATTGCACAAATGCCTGCCATCACTTCCTCAACATAGGACTCTTTTGCAGGTCAGCGGCTTCTGCTTGAGCATCCTCTGCTGTGGTATCTCTCTGGGCCCCACCAGGAACAGGACTCCATTTACTGCCTGAGTCCAGATGGCCCACAGGAGGACCAGAGCGGGGCTCTGCATCCCCAGCTGATACTCGTGTCTGGTGTCCACTAATTTCCAAGGGGACTCTGGCCTGTTACCCCTGGGCAGTGATGGGCAGCTATCTTTCCATAACTACCGTCTTGCAAGAAAGGCTCTGATTTGCAGTACTTGCCAATTCCCATGGTATAAATGCACCACCTGGCCAATGTCCCTGCTGCCAGCATGATGTCCCTGTGCACAGAATTTGGAAGAACTATAAAATAGCACATGGGCAGGGATGTTTCCATTTCCTAGGGATATGGTGACAATGTGATACAGGCTCGGGTGTTGGTTTTTTTTTGTTTTTTGTTTTTTGTTTTTTGTTTTTTGTTTTTTGTTTTTTGTTTTTTTTTAACTTTCTGCAAAGCTTTATTCCAGAGGGGCTCAGTCCTTCTTGGCAGCTGCCTTCCTCATGGCGGCCAGCACATTGCTCAGCTCCTCACGCTTCCTCTTGGTGCGGATGTGCATCACCACCCTTTTCTTGATGAACTTGAGGGAGCATTTGTCCTTGGAGACCTTGAGCAGCTCCATGGTGTGCCGCTCATAGGGGACGAAGCCACACACCTTCCGGATCATGTCCCACACGAACTTGGTGTGTTTGGTGAGACATCCGCGATGGTGGCTGTGCCTCGGCCACATTCTTAGTCACCTTGTGGCCCATATTGAGGCCCACGGTCATGGGATAGCGGAGGGCCATGGCTACTCTTCTTCGATGGTTGCTGAGGGGGAAGGACCAGAGCTGCACAGAACCATGGGAAATCTCCAGGCTTGGGTGCCTTGAAACAACAAATTGGCCAGATGCAGTGGTGTTGCCTGAGACCACAGTACTCAAGGGCTGAGGCAAGAGGAATGAGAGTTCAAGGCCATCCTGGACTATATAGTGAGTGTTTGTCTCAAAACAAACAAATAAGCAAAAACAGAGTTTTTTGGTCTCACCACTCTAGAAGTAAAATCCAAGGTGTGGGCAGTGCCATGTCCCTCTGACACCTCTGCTCCTCTAGGCCTGCAGGTTTCTGGCCACACCTGATGGTCTTGGATAGATACATCACTCTGGTCTCTACCTCTGCTGTCACGGCCTCTCCTCCCTGGGTGTTTCCCTCTTTCTTCTTCCCTTTCTGATGCAGACATCAGTCATGAGTTAGGGCTCACACTAATGACTTTCTTCCAACCAACTCCAACCCCAGTGGCCCTATCTGCAAGTAGCATTCTAAGGTACTGAGGGTTAGGACTTCAACATAACACTGTGGACACAATTCAACCCA